CAATGAGTGAACTAGATTACGAAATCTGGCTCCTACACTGAACATGCTCATACACAGGTGTGTCGTTTGTGGATCAGTGATGTCTAGTTCAACCGAAGTCCCTTTGAAAAATCTGGAACATGCATATACACTTTGGCTAAATACTTCACATCGGGTTCAGTCTTCTCAAAAGAGAAAAAAGAAAAGAAAAACTGGCTCCTCCACTGAACATACTGAGTCAATGTGCGAATAAAAAAACTCACATTAAGTCAACGAGTGAACCCATTGGCTAATTTTTTTGGCTCCGCCCCTGATTCCTATGGACCTCGTTGATCATAAAGCAATGTAGTTTCTCTCCTTGAGGTTTTTCGAAGCCAATTGAGGCACCCTGGCTGTCTGAGATTTGAAAATGATGAACTATCACTAGTAGAAAACGGCCCATTTATCCCGGTTTTAGAGGCCCTTTAGCCCCGGTTCCGGAACCGGGACTAAAGGGTTGGGACTAAAGCCCAAAACCTTTAGTTCCGGTTCACTTACGAACTGGGACAGAAGGGGCTCCACGTGGCCGCTGCGGGGCGCCCAGGCAGGAGGCCCTTTAGTCCTAATTGGTAACACCAACCGGAACCAAAAGACATCCACGTGTCAGCAGCTGGCAGGAGCTGGGGTTTTTGTTTTTTTTCTAAAGGGGGGGGGGGTTAGGGGGGTTTTGAGGGTTAATTTAGGGGTTTCATATAATGTGTTGGCTAGCTAATAGAGAGAACTGTCCTCTCTTTCTCCGTGCTTGGTCGACGCGCTAGCTAATAGAGATAACTCGACACGCTAGCTAGTAAGCAAATGAAGGAACCATTAATTACACAAGATCGTCATGAACATATACAAAGTGAAGAGTGACCTCTCTTTCTCCGAGAGATTGGCCGAACAACAAATTTTCGTATATCTATCCAACGGCATAATGATACCAAGCCTCAGTATGAATGGCTTATTTTCTAATCTTTCTAATCTTTAAGCGCATTGAATCCATCTTGATCTTGTGATCATCGACAACATCCGCGACATGCAACTCCAATATCTCAAGAGATGGGAAGCCAGGATGGGGGTCCTCGCATCCATAAAATGAATGATCTATTCTTTTCACTACATGCATGCTTCTTATGTGGAGATATCTGAGTGCAGGTAGCCTGCGAAGAGCTGGAGGATTCTGCCAGTTACAACAACTAGCAATATAAATATATACCAAGTTGCTTATCATAGGGAGCCCCATCCAACAAGGAGATCTCGTACCACTATATCCTCTTATCTTGAGTTTGGCGAGGCTTATGTGAGGCTGAATGTTATCAAGCAACAGTTCCTCATGATGGCGCATTACCCTCAAAAAAAGAGTATGGCTGCTAGCCGAAGACAAGATGTGTATAGACAAGATGGGACAAGATGAGGTTGAGTCAAAAAAAGGCTATGGCTGCTAGCCACTGAACCACTAGTATGTCCATGGAAACTATGAAGGCGCGACATACTTGAGGCATAGGCATCCGGTTTTCCATTGTTTTTCTATTTTTTTGTTTTCTGTGGGTTTTCTTTGCTTCTTTCTCTGTTTTTACTGTTTTGCTTCTTGCTCGATTTTCACTGGTTTTTTCCTTTACTTTTGTATTCTTTGGTTTTTGTTTCTTTCTATCACCTTTTCATTGTTTCCTTTGTTTTTCTTCATTTCTTTATCTGTTTTCACCGTTTTCATTCTTGTTCATTGGTTTATTTGGATTTTTCTTTTTCTTTTTCATTGTTTTCTTTTTATTGCTTTTCTTCTTTTTCTTTGTTTTGTATCGATTTACATTGGTCTATTTTGTTTTTATTTCTTTTCTTCCTTTTCTTTGTTTTGTGTCGATTTACATCGGTTTCTTTTTTGTTCAACACATGTGAACTGATATTTCATTACACATTAAGTTTTTTTGTATGCATCAGAAACATTTATTATATACATGTTTCACATTTTTGAAATATATGATTAACATTTGTATGAAACTTATATTTTTTTATGTCTCCTTTTTCCATGCACAATGTGCATTTTTGGTATATATGTAGTACATTTTTCTGATACGCATTTAACATCTTTCAAAAACAAGATTGCCATTTTTTAATACATGGTCAACAATTTTTTGTTGCACACTTTAAGCATGTTTCAAATGCTTCAATAAAGTTTTTCAAATACAAGATTAGATATAGGGTTTGTGCTCGGGCAGGCTAGATCGAGGCCCAGGGCGGATCGGAGCTTGTGCTTCGGATAGGAGGGGTCTGGCATGGGTCAGGGTGTGTTGGTGGTGGTCAGGTTACCGATGCGTCGTTGCGCGGATCGTTGCTGGTGACCACGGACATGGCGTCACGTGAGCTCGCCTGGCCATGGGCTCAGGACTGGCTTGCTGGTGGCCGTCGGCAGTCCTAGAGTCATGTGACGCAGGCGTGGGCGCTACCTACGGTGGAGGCGCCTACCCAGAAGCGGGGACTGATGCCGGGCTGATAGTGGATGGTGTTCCGTCGCTCTTCCTACCATGGTTGCGTGTGGTGTAATGTGCGCGGCCAATGGTACACTCCGTGCCTAGGTGCTGACAATGGCGACATCCTGGGTGCCGCGCTCTTTTTGAAGATGTAGTTGTGGTTCTTTTCATCATGTCAGGGCTCTGGGTGAATACATTTGTCCGGCATGGACTCAGCAGCGGCGACGCCGTGGAGCCTATGTGTGCTAGGTCGTAGCGTAGGGTGTTCAGTTTGTCCGGTGCTTATTGTTAGTAGCCTAGGCGCGTGCGTTCTATGTGTGCCGGATATCTCAGGTATGGCTATATAAGAGGGCTACCTCATTATTTTGTATCGTTCGGCTATGTACTGTTTGGATGTTGCCTTAATTATAACGGGTTTGCTATTTCACATCTAGATGTGAAATAGTTATCTCACATCTAAGTCTATCACCCTAAGATAAAATCAAACAAAGGATTTGCTAACATATCTAAATAGAATTTAGTGGCGTTTCATCCTAGTCCCTAGCGTAATTCTCGTGTGAACTACTATCAACCTCGTTTCTTTTCGGCGCCCGCGTCGCTCGTTGCATCGCGCGTTGTTAAAAAGAAATTTTCTTGCCCATCACGTGGGGGAAGGAGCGGGCCGTTTTGTTTGCTTTCTTTTTTTGAGCAGCGCGATGTGCAGCCCTGACACCACATGTTCGTGTGTGTTCTCCTCACACACAAAAAAACATGCACGTGTGTCTCCGTTTTTGTCCATGTGCGTGAACCGTTTTTCCTTTTCAAAGTTTCATTTTCTTGTCTACTATTTGTGTTGTGTCCATCATTCCAGCAATTTCATTTGTGAACATTTTTGACAGTATATTTTTTTATCTTCCACTGCAATTCTATGCTTTATGCCCTCGCAAAAAATCTATGCTTTGTGTATATACACGGCGTCGATGCATGTTTGTCGTTGCGAGTCGGGCTGTGTTGTTTTTTATTTTTGACTCTTCTTTATTGTTTTTCTTGTTTTTTTAGAATTCAATGTTTTCTACATTCGTGATTTTTTAAAATTTTATGATATTTGTTATTTGTTATTTTCTATTTTGTTTTCTTTTTTTGTTTTCTTTTTTTCCTTCTTTATTTAATTGTTTTAAATTCATGATTTAAAAAAATCTTTTCCTTTTCCTTTTTCTTCTTAATTTATTTCTTCAAATCCAAGAACTTTTATATCTACATGAGATTTAGCAATGCCTCATCAAAGTTCGTGGTCTGTTTGCTTTAAGTGTCGTGCATATCTTTGACTTGTTTTGTCGTGTGCGTTTCGTGTCGCACCGTGTGTCCGCTGTCCACTTATCGGCATGTTCGTGAGTATGTCTTTCATTTGGCCGTTTTCGCGACAAAGTCGGTGTCGCGTTTCAGTTTGTTTAGTCTTTTTTGGTCGACATTTTTTCCAGTTGCATGTCCATCTCCGACATGCAACTGGGCCCAACCATTTTTTCGAGTTATAACTCTGTCCTCGACATGCAACTAGGAGCCCACCCATCTTGTCCTAGTTGCAAGTCCAGGCTTAACATGCAAATGTGTCCGCCTAATTTTTTGTCCTAGTTGTAATTCACCCTTGACACGCAACTTGGTCTGATCTTTTTTCCTAGTTGCAAGCCAACCCTCGACATGCAACTGTGGACCCCGTTTGCCCCAGTCCCAAGTCCACCATAAACATGCAACTGAGCCTATCTCTTTTTTCTCCTAGTTGCGAGTTCACCTTCGATAGCACCTGGGACTAGCTCAATTTTCAGTTCCAGTTTCAAGCCAACCCTGGACACACAACTGGGGGAACCCTTTGTCCTAATCGCAAGTCCACCCAAACACATGCAACTGGGCGAATCTGTTTTTCCTAGTTGCGAGTCCACCCCTGTCATGCAATTGGACCTGACCATTTTTTGTCCGAGTTGCATGTCCACGCTTGACACACAACTAGGTGCCAACCCATTTCGTCTCAGTTGCAAGCCCACCCCTAACGTGCAAATGGGTTTGCCTCTTTTCTTGTCCTAATTGCATGTTGCAAGTCCACCCTTAACACGCAACTGGTTTGGGGTGGGGCGACCCTTTTTGTCCCAATTGCAAGTTCATCCCCAACATGCAACTAGGTTGCGCCTCATTTTTTGTCCCAGTTGAAAGTCCACCCCCTACATGAAACTGAGGACCTTGACTTGCAACTGGCCCCGACCATTTTTCTACGAGTTGCAAGCCCATACCCATACAAGCTAGCTAGAAACAGCCTGATCGATTCTTTGACAGAACATACTAGAACTAGTTGCTCAATGGCCGAAGCTAGCCTAGCCAAGTGATCAACTTGATCGATTCTAACCGGCGGCAGCTTACCTACACACGAGCAACAACAAACAACTGGATCGCCACAACCACGTACGACGCGGGACTGTGGCCAACAAGCACATCAACAAAAAAAAAAGCCAACAAACAAGAAAAAAAAGGTGACACTGATATTATACTTAGATGTGAGGTATTACCTCACATCTAGATGTGACATAGACGGACAGTAATTATAAAGCAGGGCGAAAGCCTATTTGACGAGGGCTTAGTACTACCGTATATAGAGTATGCGTCCGGGTATACCTGCATGCGCATAAGAAGATCCTGTGACTCCCTCTTCTGGAAGCGGCGCTGGGTGAACTCCCGGCGGACTCTATCAACCTTGGCACGCTCCTCCGGTGTGCCGTGGTCGGGGTCGAACTCCCACACTGCCCTGCCAAGGAAGTTGTTCACCGACCGCAACCACGGCCCGCCACCCTCCGACACCTTCAGCCTCCACATCTCCCTCCCTGCCGGTGATGTACGTACGGGGGCGAGTTGAGTTCACAATATGTTCGGTCACTAGATAGCTCAAAATACGGTGGTTGGAGCTATTGGCTTTTTATAGGCTCCTGCCAGCCATCTAAGTAATTAAACCAAGTTTAATGAACTTACTGATGTGATAGCCCCAGAACCTTGTTTAAAACCAGGGAACAAACTTTTCTTAACTGATCGACTGATTGGGTTGTGGTATAGCTCCAACTAAATGAAGTTTCACCCTAAAAAAAAAGTCTCACCCCATAATTTTTCCCTGAACAAGCGCTTGGGTTGCTGTCGTCCTCCGAGAACAGAGGGGCTACTGGCACAGTGTTTATTCCTATATGTGTTCAAATTAGTATTGTGTACTGTTAACTAAATTACTGTTGAACAGCCTGCCCAAGTCGAATTATGCAAAGATAGCTTATAAGTAAATTAGTGGAGGTCATTGTAGCTTCTACTATTTGTGGATCATGTACTAGTCAATCGTAGTGTCCCATGAAAGATCAGTTACGGAATTATATATGCACGGTACGTCACCCCATATAATTGACACCCAGGAGCGAATAATTTTTGTTACACATATCACACTCAACTTATTGCTAATAATGCACATTACATATATAATAATACGCGCGCGAGGTCAAGGTGTGTGCTAAGCTACCTGTTGTCGATTTGATCTTAAATATCCTTCCGTGCGATTTGCTGTATTTTATAAAGAGCACCAAATAAGAGGAGAATAAGACATGTCTCAAGTAAGATGGATGCAAGGCCAAGACTTCACGACAGCCAACTACATATACACTTTGTTGTTTTTGGAAATTATGTACACACTGTTATTAATTAAGGTGCAATTTCCACGAGGAGGCCTACACTTGCTTTGTATATTCTAATTACACATCCATAGCCAAACTTTGGAGAATTACTACCAGCTCCATCGCGCTACGACCCATTACCTTTACATCATTCTTATTTAGCGCCTTAGCCAGAAAACTTAGCACATATTTTTTTCAATACACATTTTAAACAATTTTCAAATGCTTTATTAACATTTTGAAATACAAGATTAACATTTTATGAATACACGGTCAATATTTTTCCTATACACACTTTCAAACTTTGTGAAATGCTTGATTAACATTCTTCATATACAAGATTAACATTTTCTAATATGTGGTCAACATTTTGTCTATGCACATTTCAAATGCTTGATGAATATTTTCTAAATGCAATATTAACTTTTTTTAAACACATGGTGAACATTTTGTCTATACACATTTAACATTTTTTAAATGCTTGATCTTCTTATTTCAAATACTTGTTCAATATTTTTTTCAAATTCTTGATTAACATTTTTATATACATGATAAAAAACTTCATCACTTTTTAATACATGGTCAACATTTTCTCTATAGACATTTAACATTTCTGAAATTCTTCATAAATGTTTCAAATATTTGTACAGGAAAATTTCAAATGTTTGATTAACATTTTTTAAATACATGATTTTTTATACATTTTTGGTAATGTGATAATTTTTTTATATACACATTTATCATTTTGTTCAAATGCTTGGTCAGCATTTTTTAAATATTCTTCATAGAAAGTTTTTCGTAATATACTTAGAATATTTTAAAGTATAAACAAAGTTTAAAAATAAGGCAGAAAACGAAACCAAAAGCATAAAAAAACAGAAAAAAGGTTGTGGCCTCCCACGCTCCTAGGCCGGCCCATCTCGGGCTCACCTTAAGCGACGGTTCCTACCATCTCGCTGAAGGCGAGATATACGGCGCCCAGTAATATCCCAGACTTGTCCAAAAGAAAATGTTTTGGTGATGCAAATTGTCAGCGAGATGGTCGCCGACAATTTGTGTCACGAAAACACTTTTTTTTTGGGGGTACAAGCTGTATTGATGCGCCTTCAGTATAAAGCGAACTAAATTATAGTAAAATGATTGGCCTTGCAAAGTTGTAAAAATATCGTGATGACATACACATAGATGGGACTCCTAGTTCAAGGCTACAGCAAATTCACCATCATCCTGGCAAAAAAGAAGCAACTCTCTAGTCTCTTGTGTTGAGTTGCGAGAGTAGTCCTCTGTTTTCCCCCGAAACAGAGCAGCTCCTTCTTTGTTTTTGCTGGACGGCAGCTCTTTCTCGGAGTCCATCTTTTCTTACAGGAAAGTAAAGTAGCCGCCCATTAGATTATCCCCTCACCCATCGCCAACCCAGGCAGAGCGTACTAACGGTCCACCTGTCAGTAGATTTACTTATAACCAGGCCCAAAAAAATTCAGAGGGCGGACCAATGCTCTTCAGAGACGAAATGGACACACAGGCCAAAAAAAATGCCCTTCTTATTTTCCACTTAACCAGAAACCAACACCACACTTGGGTTCAGTACACGCTCTTCAAACCAACACACACTTTTGTTTGCATCCACGCCCTCGGTGATGGTTTCCTTGTCGTCTCCCAACTGGGCTCCTCCCGGTTCTTTTCTTTTCCGATAAAGGGCTTTTCACCAGATTCTTGATGTGCTCCTCCCGGTTCTTGATGTGCAATCCGGCCATCCACCAGATTGCTTCCCTGCCGCAGCCTCAAATCCGGCCGAGCAACACCGTGCTCGCGATCTACCGGCACAATCCAACAGGAGAGTACAGGGTTCAGTACACGCTCTTCAAAGCTACTCCTATACATGTCCGATCTGGGAGCTGCTTCAAAGCTATATATGTTTCCTACTAGTGCATGGCTCCCGGAGGGCAGGAGCCCCTCCGAGATTGGATCTCTCTCCATGTTCTCTTCGGTTTTTCGTTCCTGTTTTTCTGGACAAAAACCATTTCTTATATGTCCGGAGTTCCGTAACTCCGATTTGGCTGGAATTTGGAGGGGATTTTTATCCAGATATTATCTTTCTTGCGGCAGGGCAGAAGAACAACCCCAACCGACTTACAGGGTAGCCACAAGCCTGCTAGGCGCGCCCAGGGTAGGGGGCACGCCCCTTGAGCTTGTGGGCCCCTCGAGCATCGTCTCACGTTGATTCTTTTTTCCAAAAATCACATATATTCCAAAATGAATCTCCGTAAATTTTTATCGCGTTTGGACTTTGTTTGATATGGGTTTTCTGTGAAACAAAAAATATGCAACAAACAGAAACCGGCACTGGTAATATCAACTGGGAAATACCGTTAGCAGTACCTAGATTTGCAGTAGTTTTCGTTAATATATTCTATGTAGAAAAGAAAAGCCCGCACCAGCCAATGCCACATAGCCCACATCTTGCTAGATCATGAACTTTCACCCTTGCGGCTGGCTGGGTAACAAGTTTTAGATTTTGGCACGTGTTGTTGTGCCCGACATTGGACGTCCCCTGCTATCCCAGCCAGGGGAGCTCCTACTCGGCGCATTCAGCGCCGCTTAGCCTTCCTGGCGCCCGCGCGTGCCGCCTAGCAGCTACTTCAAAAACGCAGACACGAAAAGAAAAACTATCCTCGAAAAATATACACAAGAGCTGGGATTCAAACTCTCATTCTCATGCTAACCATAGTAGTCCCAAAAGAACAACCACTGCACCAACAGAGCTAGCATGTTAACTTTTGTATTTAACGCTTCTATTAGTACTACACTAACTTATACGTATTTTGTATATGAAGAACTTGCGACCTGCACTACCTACATGTGTTCAGCTAACCACTAGGGCATATCTTTGCAACTGATAAAATGCAGCACTAACACTTGAAAAACTTTCATAGCCGCTCATATATGATTTTCTTTAACAAAAATGAAACTTCACAAATTTCAGAAAAAGTTCATGAACATGCATAAAAACGTTGACCTAAAAAAAGTTCAATGATTTTGAAAAAAGTTTATCAATTTTAAAAAATAGCTCACAAAATTTTGAAAAACGTTCATAAAAAAACTGAAAAAAAGTTCACCAATTTTAAAAAAGTTCATCAATTTTGAAAAAAGTTCACAAAACTGAAAGTTCATCAATTTTTTAAAATAGTTCATCGAATTTGAAGAAAAATTCATCCAATTTGAAAAAAAATGTTCATTCAATTTGAAAACAGTTCATAGATATTGAAAAAAAGTTCATCGAATATTAAAAAAAGTTCATCGAATTTGAAACAAAGCCATCAATTTTCAAATATAGTTCACGAAAAATAGAAAAAGTTCATAGATTTTGAAAATAAAAGTTCATCAAATATGAAAAGTTACATCATCGAATTTGAAAAAGTTCACGTATTTAAGAAAAAGCGAAACGATGAGGGAAAGAAACTAGGAAGAAGAAGAAAAGGAAAAACAGAAAACGAAAAATGGAAACAAGAAAACGAGAAAAAGAAAAAGGAAAAAGAAAGAATAAATAAAAGAAAGAATTGAACCTCATCGAATCCTGTTGAGTGGCGGGGTTGTTGTACTGTCGAACCTTAATGTGGGAGGTCTGTTGTTCGAGTCGCGGTGAGGAGCTTATTTTTTGCGAAACAAAGTACAGCGTAACGGGCCAGCCCAGTGCGGGGCGCTGCAGGCGCCCGTTTGCAAAATACACATTAACGGGCGCCTGCAGCGCTAAATAGGATTCGCCCCCAGCCAGACGAAGCCCCTACATGTAGGCGGGCAGGCATCCCATCCAAGTGGTGCGCCCCACATGTATCGTGTGGGAAAGCAAGTCGTGCCTTCATGGGCTAACACCCTGGAGCATAAGTACCTTCGAAGCCGGGGTTTATGTCGTGGGAGAGTACACCAATAACCTTATGGAGGAAGGTACTTCTCGGGGGATGACCCAAGGGGCATTGCCTGCTCGGCCTCCTCCCATAGCTACAGATTCCCAGCTTAGAAACCCAGCCGAGCAGGAAACCCATTAAGAGCATCTCCAGCCGTTCGGCCCCCCCAGGACGCCGAAAAAGAGCGTCCTGGGGGTGCGCCGGCGATAAAATCGGCGTTGGGGGCGGTTCGGCACCCAGCCGTCACCCCAGGCGCCGAATTCAGCCC